CACGTGGCGCCCCACGGTCCCGATGCCAAAGGCTGCTGCCACGGCTCCCTTTCACGCCCATGAACAAGTCAGGGCAGTACCTGGCTCACGGGGGTGCAGATGCTGCCACCATTGTGATGGGATGCAGTGCTGTCTCCCTTTCCACCCCCAACAAAAAACGAGGCCCAAAAGAACATCCCCAAACCACAGTGGTCCTGGGGTCGCCCAAGGACTTCCTCAGGGTGTTGAAAGCCCCGGGGGACATGCCCAGCCTCAGGATTGGCTCCAGAGCGATGGCTGCACGCCCAAGGCCCTGCAGCACACATGGATTATCAGTGCTCCTGCAGCCACTGCAGGGAGAAGGAGCTGACTCAGCAGCCAGCTCCATTCATTCCTGCTTTGCTCCCACTCTGCTCTCCTGGCCCTGTGCACGGGGATGGCAGGATTGGGCCCAGCAGCACCCATGCTCTGCCAGAGGGACAAGATGAGTCCGGTCTGGGCATCCCCATGGGATTCTGCCACCGCGGGTATCTGATCAGCTCCAAGGATGGAGCCAGCTTGTCCCAGTTTTTCCCTGGGGACCTCACCTGGGGAACTGCCCATCGCACAAGCACCGTCTTGGGGCACACAACTGAGCTGTTTCAGGTCCCCACAGGTCACCTTGCGTACCAGAGCCAGGGAGAAGTGCTCCTCCTTCTCTGCACTCTGCAAACCACACTGAGAGCAGCTCTGACCTGCCACAACCTGGGTTCGCCCTGCCTTGACCCACTCACAGCCAGCAGGGTGGGCCAAAGGAAACTGAGGCACGGCCAAGGCCACAGAGCAGGTCCTCTCAGCCCCCACCTGGTGCCCTGTGCTGCCCTGAAGCACGGGGTGCACCTCAGGGAGGTGCTCGGACCCTGCTGAGCCTTTGGCACTGGGTGGGGTGGCCTGACAGACCCCTCCGGGGACACCCAGAGCACCCCAGCACCCTTGCGGCAGCATCAGCGTTTGTGGGGAAGCGGCTGGGGAATGGGCTGGCTGATGAAGGGTCTGCCAAAAGGAGGGTGGCAGAAAGGACAACATCACACAGGGTGCTCTCCAAGCCCAGGAGACGTGGAGGAGCAGGGCAAAGCAGGGACGAGCCGACACTGTTGTCATGCCCTCAGACCGGGATCCTGCACTGCATGGGAAGGGGGAAGCCCCATGGCCCCAGGCAGGCAGAGCTGGGGTGTGGGAGCCAGCGCGCCCCACCAGCTCCTGATTGAAGCAAAGCTTTGCAGCACTCCACTTGCTCCTCACCATGTCCCAGGTGGCCCCAGGGAACACCCGGGGGTGATGCACGCTCACCCACTCCTGCACCAGCACCCAGGACCCGCCAGAGCTGCTCACATCAGGTCCCTGAGCACACACAACACGGGGGGGAGGGGGGAGCTGCACCAACATGCAGCCGCACTTCGCTGCTGGGGGAATGGCAGCTTCATGTGGAGGAGGTGTGGCACACGGCTGGGACAAAACCAGGCAAAACCTGGCTTGAACATCCCCACTCGGGTGCTCTCTGCCTCCTCTGCTGCTGCCTGATTCACACACAGGTCTGCACACGAATGCGCCCACGCTGCTGCACCGCGGCCCCAGCGCTGTGCTGTGGCCGTACAGCCACACAGGTCCCTCGGCAGTGGGTGGCCACGTGTTGGCAGACCTCCCAGTGGGGTGACCTTGGTGGGGTGACATCGGTGGGGTGACCTCCAGGGTCCGGGAAACATCCCCAGCCTAGCTGGGGTGGGAAAGTGTCACCGGTGGCACCGCACCCCTCCAGTGTCTGGCATCAGGGGGAGGGAACTGCAAGCGGCACATTGAGCAGTGGCAGGTGGAAACCAGAGTTGACAGCAGCCAAGGAAGGGAGCAAAGATTTTTCAGTGCCAGGGAAACAGCCCAGAGGTTGGTGCTGTCCCTGCCTGCGCTCTGCCCAGGCCCCAAGGACAGGCAGGACAGGACAGGGGAGCAGCACCATCCCAGCAAACGCTGCTGCGTTAAGCAGAGCTCGCTGCCTGCACCAGGCCCTTCAGACACCTCAGTGCCAGCGGCAGCGTGGGCACATCCCAGTGGATCTGCTCCCAGCCCAGGCTGTGCCGGGTCCCCGCCAGCTGAGAGCTGCCCTGCTGCAGAGCATGAGGAGGATACGGTGACACCAGGAACAAAAGAAAAGCCTCGCTGCCAAACAGGGAGGGCAAAGCCAGAGCTTTTCACCCCCCCAAACCAGCAGTTGATTGCTGGTAGAGGGGAGCCATGAGTGCCAGCCCAACGGACGCAGGCAGGATGAGCAAGGGGACAGGATGCCGGCACATTTGGCTGGTACAGAAACACTTCTTGGGGCTGGGGTGTCCCCAGCCGATCCCTGCTCTCACCATCATCCCACCCCACCTCTGAGCTGGGCGCCGGGACACCCACTGCCTTCTCAGCTGGGCTCACCCCAACCACCACTCTGCCCCGATACCCGCACTGACAGTCCCCACGCCCCGGCCGTGCCTCACCTACCTCAGCCCTCTCTCCTTCTAGGCTGCTTCCCCGGTGAGCCATGGAGATGCTTGGTCCCATCCCACAGCCCCACACGTCTCCAAAGGCGGACGTGCCCCTGTGTCCTCTGAGCTGGCTCTGACCTACTGCCCTACAAACCTGGGTGTGCGCCAGCGTGGTGCAGGGGGACGCTGGCCCGGCGGCCCCAGCTCGGGGGCTGATGGTCCCATCTGCAGCACTCGCCTCCTGCCTGGTGCATTAGCAGCATGGGGAGATGGGGCCTGGGGTGGTATTTGCTTTCTAGGTCAGAGCCAGCCGAGGAGGGTGGATGAGGGGCTGTGCTGGATGAGTGCTCCTGGCCAACAAGGCAGCTCCTCGCCCTGGCCGGCTCTGGGGTGGAGGGGATGTCCCTGCTCCCCTGTCCTGGCTCTGCACCCAGTGCTCAGGCTTCTGGACAGGTCACCCTAGTGTCCCCCAGCCAGGGATGTCCCCTGGGGACAGAAGCCCTGTCATGCTGCCCGCTCTGAGGGACCCCCCGCCTCAGCCAAGTCCTGCTGTGTGGCCATGGGGGGATGGAGCTGGAGCTGTGACTAGGTCACCACACAGCCCCATGTGGCTGATCCCCAGGACACGTCCCTGCAGATAAGAGGGTCCTGTGCTGCCCTGGCAGCCCTCCTGCACCCATCCTGGGGAGGGGTACCCATCACAGAGCACCCAGTCTGTCTCTGAACCCATCGGGAGGGCATTAGGGATTTCCCTCGGGGCACATCCAGGGTGTCACACTGGGGACCCCGCACAGGAACAGGGACTGCGGCACCCGGCTGTGGCAGTGACGGCCCAGCTCACCGTGGTGCTGAAAACCTCACCCACACCAGGGGACTGTGGTGCTGCCAGGGCCTTGTGGGAGGCTCAGCTGCACAGGGCTCCATCCCCAAAGCTTGGCCCTTCCCAGGAGGAGCAGACCTCGCCCAGGGCAGTACACAGGGCTGAGCCCAGGGAGGGTTCTGCCGGGGCTGCCCCTGCCCGCACTCTGCCTGCTCAGTGCCTGATGGAGACGAAGCGATGCTCCGGCTCACCCCTCCCGGCACTGCCTCCACACTCAAGGGCACCCCAAGGTTATTCGCCTGCATGAGCAGCTCTGAGATGAAACAAGGAGGGGGACAGGGAGCAGTGGAACCCTTCGTCCCCACAGCCAGACCCGCTGTGGCCCCAGCCATCCAGGGCAGCCCAAAGCCACCCCATTGCCCATCACACCCCACAGTCCAGTGGCCAGTGGTAGAAGGTGGTGACTTGCCAGCTCTGGCTGCCAAGTGATGGGTTACGGTCCCCAGGAGGGGTCCACGCTGAGCCAGCACAAGGCACCCCCATTCACACGAACAGGGCAACCCCCAAGGTCACTGCACATGCCCACGGGGAGGACAGGTCTGATGCCTGTGGTGCCGCAGACACTCTTGCCCCTGAGCTGTAGCATCACAGGGGCAGAGGCCAGAACAGGCACCCCTCGGTCTGTGTCCCTTTCAACTGTAACACGTGCCTCTGGGCCACGTCTGGGGAGCACTGGCCCCCAGGATGAGTGTGAAACCACGGGCTGTGCTCTATCCTGCAATCAGCTGACGTGCCTATGGCCACCCTGGGAGGGCCGAAGCAGCACTGTCAGGAGGCCAAATACCTCCTCGTGCTCTGAGACAACTCAAACGCTGGAGTTATTTATTTTCTCCTGTGCTGAAACAGGAAACCGCCAACATGCTGAAACCCTGGAGCCTTGCCAGAGCCAGGGGCACCTCAACAGTGCAGCAGGAGCTGGACGCATCTGGAAAGAATATGTGTGCCCTGGGCATGCTGGGTTGTGGCCACCTGGCAGGAGATGCCCCTGGCCCTGCAGGTGGAGGGACAGAGGCTGACGGGTGTCCCAGAAGGAGGGGACCGCGCTCAGCAGCACACCCTGCTCCACCACAGTGCCACTCATCGGCAACGACACCTTGGTGCCCAGTTCTCGCTGGGGTGTTGAGACCTGACCCATCCTGTCCTACCACAGGCCACCAGCACTCCTGGCTGGACACAGGACATTCCCGCAGAGCTAGGGTCAGAGGCGGCAGCTCAGACCCACTGGTGTAAACTGGGAGAGTGCTTCTGAAAGCAGCAGTATTTACCCCAGCAGGGCTCTGGCTCGGGACTCCCGCAGCCAGGTACCACGCGCTTTTCTCAGCCACCTGCTCTGGGAACACCCAGATCCAGCGGGACACTTCCCACACGCTGAGAGCAGCATGCCCCAGCTGAGGGGCTTGCGCTGGCCCTGAGAAGTCCCGGCTGGCCCAGCCCAGCACTGCAAGGGCTACACTGCCTCAGTGGTGGGAAAGCAACTCCTGAGATGCGGGGACGCGATCCACCCAGCCAGCCTGGCGGTGATCTATGTGCTCCTCCATCTGTCCCTGCCATGCCTGGTGCCCCTCCACCGCTAGCTGAACAGGAGATGGTGAAACCTCCAGGAGAGCCCCGGTCCGAGCACGAGCCCCGGCGCGGGCACTTACCCCGTGGTGATGTCGTCATCCTCTGTTAGCGTCTTCCCCATCAGATCGCTGTCACTCATGTAGCCTGACTTCAGCTCCACATCATCGGTGTCCAGTGCCTCGACCAGCTCCAGGCGGGAGATGTGGCTCAGCTTGCTGGGGCTGCGCATGGGCATGGTGTGCGAGTAGTGCGCCCGCTCGCCGTGCATGTACCAGCTGGGGGTCCCCTCGGAGCGGCAGGTCCCCCCGACTGACGGCGCATCCCCTGCCTGCAGGCGTGGGCTGGACTGTCCGTAGCGCCAGGACAGCGGGGAGGAGCGGTTGGACAGGCTGGAGACGCTCCGGGGGTTGGCTTCATCGCTGTCATAGCAGGTCATCTCCAGAGAGCTGCGAGGATGGCGTGAGGGGGGGGGTTAGGGCAGGGCAGGGTGGGCAGCAGAGATCTGTGCCCTGCATCACCCCTGCCCCGAACCGGGGCTGCAAGCGCTCAGAAAATAAAACTGCCCGTTTTGAGGTAGCCAGGCAAGGCCAGAGGCTCTCAGGAGTGTGGACACAGGGACACTGTCTGTCCTGGACCCCTTCCCTTTCAGGTGTCAGGGGACAGTCCCTTCCTTCCCTTCCTGGTACCAGCACAGCGTCCCACACTCCAGGACCCACTGGGACACCCGCATCACCAGCACCCACCAGTGTCTGGTGGTGCCTCTTTCTCCCCAGGGTCTGTGGAGCAGGACACGGGGTATGATGGGGAGGTCTGTGCCTCCCTATAGTCCCAACCACCCCACAGAGGCAATACTCCCTGCAGGGCCACATCCACCCACCTCAGTGCAGGGGCTGGAGGTGTCACCAGGGCTGGCTGCAAACACCCAGTGGCAGCACGGCCAGCACCACGCTGGAGACCAGCCCCAGCCCCAGCATGAGTTGTGCTGAACCCCACTAACAGGGAGCCTTTAGTGGAATGCCCAGATGTACTCCCCCATGCCCAGGCTGCTGTCTCTCAGCCATTCACTCCTCCCAGCATTTCAACATCTGCATCCCAGTATCACCCCAGACCCTGGATAGGACAAACTGGGGTAGTGGCACACTGATCCCAGGGGACATGGCAGTGGGTCATGACAGGGAGCAGAGGCTATGAGTGAAAGGATGCCAAGGGGATCCCTGAAAGGATGACCAGGTCCCTGCATCAGCATCCCACACCAAACCCCTGCAGAGTGAACCTCCATGTCTGGGCAGGAGGGGATGCCCCGAGACAGGGTTGCCCGCCCCAAGGGGCTGCCTGCAAGCCGCTGCTCTCCAGCCATCCCAGAGCCCACGAGTACATCAGAAACAGGGAGTTCAGTTACTCCCCGCACCCCTCAGGGTGTATTTTGGGCAAACAGCATGTCCGGGAGTGATGCTGAGACTAAATTTAGACACCAAAAATGATTATGTCTTGGAGCAGCTACTTGGGAACCCACAGCCCTCAGCTTGGCTCCAAACGTTACTATCAGCAAGCTATTCCCTAGCTTGGATTAAACGTTTCTGCGGGAGCACCAAAAGCCAAACCCCGGCTGCAGTATTGAATTTAAAACAGGGATCTACATAAAAAACTAGGAAGTTTGTTAAAGCAGAACTAAAAGGGGCAGCTATAAAGGGTTTGTTTTTTGTCGGCAGCACAAAGGCTATTTAAGGATGTTTTGCTAGCGGCTCGGAGCAGATGCAAACCACGTCTCCAAACAGGACTAAATCAAGCCCCCGAGGAAACTCACACAGCCCTGCAGCCGGGTGCAAAGGCTGCCAGAAGTACGATGACGTCTCTCAGGAACAAAGTTGTGTCCTAGCGAGGAAACAGCAAAGACTGAGAGCCCCCAGCCACTGGATGGAAGAATACAGAAAGAGGAACAAGAGAAATTTGACTGATAGTTTGTGGAAGGAATAAAGAGAGAGTCCAAAGCAGCTGCAGAGACACTGGTGATGTGGGACACATCCAGAAGACCACAGATGACATCCATATCGGACACCCTCGTAGGAAGCATTCCTGAGAGCAGAATTAGTGGGCATGTGTCTAATTACAGCATACAGGGAAAGAGCTGACACAGCTTTGGTAAAGGAAAATCCGGCTCGCAACTGCGGTGGAGATCCTGGAGGGATGCAGGAAGTGTGCTGCTGAGCCTGCTGCCGGCTACCAGAAGGTGGTGGATAAGCACCTTCACCAAAGGCAGACTAAGTTTTCAAATAAATTCAGCTGCCATGGGCTAAGAGGGAAGATCCTCACATACTTAAGAACCACTTACAGGACGGAACGCAGGGGTAGGCATCCCTGAGCTATCGATAGTTGTTTTTCTCTGTGGTAAGGATACAGCTGAGGTCTCTGCCACACAATGTACTCAACTCATCAACAAAAGTAAATGATCGCGAAGAGTCAAAACCCACCAGCAATGCTAATTTAATCACCCTTATTATCCTCACCCTATTTTCCTAAGACTGGGGCTGACAGAGGATTTGCAAAGGAGCTGAGCACTGGGGCGAGAAGGCAGCAGGTTAAGTCTGACACAGATGAATGCAAAGCGAATGCAGAGCAAATGCAAAGCAAACGCAGAGTGAACACAAAGCAGCCCTGACTTGGCATGAGCAGCGCCAGGCAGAAAACCAGCTCCTACGCTGAGCAAAGGGATGGCAGAGCTGTGATGGGTAATTCCAGCAAATAGCCAGCTCGGGGAGTATCGCTGTGGCCCTGTGCAAATCCCACTGCCCCTTCACTCTGCTGCCTCCGGCTTCAAAAAGATCCAGAAAGTGCAGCAAGGATGAGCAAAGTCTAGACGAGCTTCTGGTTTAAGAAGAGCTAAACCAAGGGGGCTGCTTCATCCTGGACGAAGCTGACAGAGGGGCCACACTGGGAAGGTCTGTGATGATGAGCGGTGGATGAAGGCAGGGGAGGAAGCTGCTGCTTTTTGCCCCTTCCAACACAAAAATGAGGATCGAGGGAGGCCACAAGGTGGCAACAAACGCCAGGAGAAGGATGTTCGCTGCATCCTCGGCTTTCCCGACTCGCTGACACCAGACACAGCCTCTCTGCAAATCCCAGGCTTCATAATGCGGCTGCACCAGCAGTGTGGGGGCCGGGAGGGCGCCCTGGGGATATGCCCCCTCCTCACCCACTGCCCTGTCCCACCGCTGGCAGGGCCCGGGCCCTTCAGCCCCGAGGGGGGAGCCAGGCAGGAGGCTGGAGCTGCTGTGCAGAGCCCCATTAGGTCCAGAGCTGAGCAGTAACCCTGAAGTGGTCTCAAGTGAGAGAGCAGGGGCAGCGGGGACACAGGTAGTCCCAGGCATGTGTAAGAGACACCCCTGAACACAGGTAGACATTCTGCTCTGGTTCACCACCCAGAATTCACCCTGTCCTCACCTCCACCACCCCCTCCAGCAACCCTGGGGTGCTACCAGCCGCAGCCTGGGCAGGGTACCCCAACTCTGCCTGTGGGTTGCCAGGCATTTAGTCAGCTCTGTTTGAGGGTTTCTCCATCACCAACTCTACACAGAGAAACTGAGTCACAGATGGGGATGGAGCCTGTGGTCCAAACCTGGGCAGGCACAGGGGATACCTTCACCTCCGGTTGTTCATAAGGGGGCAGGGAACAGAGCTCAACTCCTGCCTGGGGTCTGGGGGCAACTGGCTCCCCTCAGTGCCACCCCCACCCACCCCTACTGCCCCAGAGCACGCAAGGCAGCATTAGGCCCAGAGCACTGCCAGGGATGGGGCTCTGCTACAGCCCCACGCACAACATCCCATGGATTTGGGGACATCCCTCCAAGCCCCCATGTGCAGGGTCCCCAGGCCATGGGGTACAGCTGGCTTTCTCCCACCCATATGACCCCCACTCAGAGCAGAGCCGCTGCTTCTCAGCCACCCCAGCCTCCCTCACTGCCCCAGAAGGACGCTGGTTGTGGGGAAGGGGTGGTCGGGGTCTGGTGTTGGGGCTTCACCTGTGAGACACCTGAGAGCCCCTCAGGCTGGACATGGTCTCCTCCAGGTTCTGCCGAAGGTCCAGCACATTCTGTACTGTCCTCTTCCTCTGGGACTCGGGGTCTGCAGAGAGACAAGGCAGCAGCTTTAAAGGGATGAACAGCTCCTGCGCCCCTCTGCCCACAGCTGTGCCCCCCAGCCCCTTCTCACACCCCTCTGCCCATGGCTGTGCCCCACAGCCCCTTCTCACATCCCTCTGCCCATGGCTGTGTCCCCCAGCCCTTTCTCACACCTCTCTGCCCATGGCTGTGCCCCCCAGCTCTTGCTCTGCCCTCTGGGAAGGGACAGGGCAGGGCTGGCACTGAGCTGGAGCTGCACCACCACAAAATGCCACCCACAAGGGTGCTACAGCCAGGACGGAGATGTTTGCTGCAGGAAGGATGAGCTTGGCAGTAGCCAGCAGGGCTGGGAGGCCCAAGTGGAGCCCTAGGACCCACGCAGGTCACAGGAGGCCAGCTACAGTCTGGCGACCCCAAAGCACTGTGACTCTGCTCTGTGGGGCCACACAGGAACACTTGCCCTGGAAGAATGTCCCCAGACCTGCCCCTGCATTCCCCCAGGCCCTGGGGGTGCTCCAGCCTGGGGACACGGTCACTGCAGCAGCAGCACCCAGTGCACAGCCAGCAGGAGCAGAGATGTCGCGGAGCAGTGCAAGCCGAGCCCCACTCCTGCCTCGTGCCCAGGGAGAGGTGGCTGCTGCTGCTGCAGGCGGGAGCAGCCGGCAGAACTGAGCCCCCCACAGGCACAGGCCGGGCCTGGAAAACCCCACGCTTCAGCTGCCCTGGGGCTTCTCCAGGTGTGCACGCACACACAGAGGTATGCACACACGTACCTGCACCACAGCCACTTGTGCACACACACACATCCAGACACACGTGCATCCACACCTGTAGAAACACACACGCACACACAACCGTGTGCACACACACCACCAGAGAAACACACAGACATGCATGCACACACACGTGCGCACACACACACGAGCACAGAGGAGGGGGGTCGCTCCTGGCACCCTGGCAGCGTTGCTGAGCTCGGCTCCAGCCCTCGCACCCCTGGCCCACTCGTGTGTGTGCATCCCTGGCAGCTAACAGCCAGGCCACCGCGGCTTTGATCCCCGATTTCAAGCCTTTCAGCCACAGCTTGCTACTGAACCGCAGTGACAGCAGGCGCCAGGGACGCTGGACGTGGCTCCTCCTAACGTAACGTGGCAACCAGCGCTTCGGGATTTGCAATGGCACCGCATAAGCTGCAGTGACGCAGGGACCGGGGGGGACACCCTCGGCACACACCCTGGCAGGCTCCCCACAAAAGCACAGCCACGCACCCAGTGCACGAGCAGGGCTTGTGTCCCCTTGTCCCCATCACACACCAACCGCGCTGGCTGACAGACCGCAGGCAGCACCCATGGGTGACACTGCCCTGTCCCTGGGCTCACTCACTGGCCTGGGCAGGAGCACCTCAAACCAGCGAAGCGGCTCCGATTGATGCGTGACCCTGAAAGGTGGTGATGAGCGGTAAGAGCCTTGATGAGACAGGTTAACTCAAGCAGGTTAAAGCCAGTTGTAGATGAGGGTAAGCGGAGCTGGTGAGCCCCCGGGGCACCCAGCGTGGCCGGCACACACTCTTGTGTAAGGAGGACACCCAGTCACGCCATGTGTCCAACTGTGCTGGTCCAGTTCCCAGAACAAGGCTTAGCAGGAGGCAAGTCATGAACTCACTATTAAATTTTTGTCATGGCCCACACACAGCGGAAGAGTTAATCAAAGTGCCATGAAGGAGGGTCTGCCCCAGAGCCTCCAACCAGTGCTCGAGAGCTGCAGCAGGATCATGAGTGGGCTGGGGCGCGAGGCTGAGGACAGGGGTGTGCAGGCAGCAAGGGCAGAGGGACGGAGGGGTTGAGCAGAGGGGGCTGCACACATGGAGCCAGAGCACAGAGAAGGCTCAGGGGGCCCTTGTTGCTGGAGGCCAGCAACCACCCTGCTCTGCAGCTGGGGACAAAGGGACTCTGTGCCCCTCCGGTGGGGCAGGCAGAAAGGGCCATCTTGGCAGATCAGGGGCATCTAAGAACTTCCAGGTCCTGCCCTTGTGTTCCCTGGGACAAAAGATTTTCATGCTTGAAAAGGCAGGGCAGAAATCTCCACTGCTGCCACACATTCAGTCTGCAGTGCAATGGAAGATTTTGGAAGGGAAGCACATTCAAACCTTAGGAAAGTGCAATAAAACACCCAGCAGTGTTCCCAGGCACATCCACACAGGGAGGGACTCAGCACCCTCAGCTCCTCTACCCTGGCCACATTTGGTGGTTGCAGTCCATGCTGAGCCCAGCTCCTGCAGCTGGAGACAGCAGCACACACACACCCTGGCAGCGCTGTGTCCCTGCGAGATGGGACGGGATGCAGCAGGATGGGGTGGAAGAGCCACTGTTGTCCCTTGGCACCGCCAGCGGCTCCCACGCCCCTGCCAGCTCAGCAGTATGCTCCTCCTGGGCACGGCTCCCTCCCCAAAACACCCCTGCTGCCTCCCCCATGGCCACCCGCAGCCATTCCCCTGGGCACAAAGCCAGCACTTGGGACTGGTGCTGCCTCCTCCCCAGGCACTGCTGCCAGCGGGACTGCTACAGCCACCCCCAGCCCAAGGAGCAGTGGGGCCGGGCTGAGCACTCGCTGCATCCCCAGCCACCCCGAGCAAGGGGCTGGCATGCAGCTGTCACCTCCCCTGCACCCCCACTGCTGCTGGGGACCCCTCGCAGAGAGGACCCCCAGGACACCCGAAGTAAGAAGCAGCATCCAAGGGCTCAGGGCCCACCGTTTCAGGGCAGTGGCAATAACCCACATCCCCAGCTTCACCTGCAGCACAGTCAGCCATCCATGCCTAGCCCTCAGTTTTGGGGTGACAGTCCACGTCACTAGCATCCAGAGTCACCCGGGAAAAGCAGTAGCTCTCAACTGGGAAAGGGCCAAACTGGGACTCAAGGAGCTGCTTGCTCACCTCTGCCACATGTCCTGCTGGCTGAATTGCTGCCAGCGCTGAAGTGCCACTGCCTGTTCCCACTGTCCTGGGCTGGGGCAGTGACACTGGGCCTCCCACAGTCGGTTTTCCAGGTGCAGCAAGGGGCCAGGGGCTGTCTCGGGGCTGGCTGAGTCGCCGCATGCCGGAGCTGAGCCGAAACCAGAGCCGCTGGGAGAGACTGGAGTGTGGGAACAGCAGGAGTGTGCTGGATTCCTCCCCGCATCGATTTTGCAAGCTTGCCACAGCCAGATGTTTCCAGCTGCTGGAGCAGGGAGCAGCAGGGATGGCTCAGCCTGTGCTGTGGCAGGGTCAGTCGGATACGCTGCCTTGGCCAGGCTCATTTCCCCAGCAGCAACAGCCAGGATGTGTCCCCCAGTGTCCCCCGCTCTGCCGGGGCTGCAGGCTTGGGCACCAGCTGTCCTCTCCACCCCGGCTTCAGGCTGGCTTGCAGCCCCATTCACAGCTCCCCACCACTCTTGCAGGCTCCATCCTGCTGTCACAGAGGGAAGTGGGTGCTGTCTCCATCCCTGTGCTCCCCCAGCCCAGCCACGCAGAGGAGGGCAGCCCTGAGACACAGCCACTCTCCCCAAGCCCTGTGCAGGGAGGCCACCAAGCCCCACTGCCCAAGTCACTCTCCCCTGTGCCAGGCTGGGTATAACCTGCCCTTGCCTGCAGTCATGCTTGGGCAGCTCTCCTGGCTCTCCCCGGCCCCTATCGCTGCTCCTTTCTCAACTGAGTGCTCTTAGTGCTCTCTCCAGTGTTAGCAAACACAATATGGTTTCCCTTTGCACACAGGGAAACTGAGACAGGAACTCCTAGCTCACCCCTGACCACCCCATTGTCTACAAGCGTTCTCCTGCAGAGCCTCCAACGCCTGCCTCTGTGTTAAACACTGGGCAGTGCTGCCTGATACCCCAACCCACGCACTGCCCATCACCCCTGTCTCCGACCCTGCACAACTGGTGAAGCAGCAGGTTCTACTGCCAAGAGAAGGAGTGTCGCCGAGATGGGATGTGAGGAGGGAGGGAAGGAGGAGGAAGGAGAGAGCTGTTCTGCAAAGGGCTGGCTCAGGGCAAGGTGCTGCACGCTGTGGGTCTGACTGCCAGACACTGCAGAGCCAGGGCGAGAGGAGACCGGGCAGCTCCAGGCTGTGCCCACGTCCAGCCCTTCCATCACCTCCAAGAGCGAGCGGTGGCAGCTCCTCTGCCTGAACGACGGGGCGCAGCCGCATCCCCACAGCCAGGCGCTGCCGACGTGGCCAAGTACGTCAAGGAATGAGGAAATCATCAACTCCAAATGGCTCATGACAGCTCATTTCAAAGGAGCATGTGGCCAACAGCTCCCGCTGGGGCCAGGCAGAGCTGCGTCCGTGGGACACGTGTGCCCCATGTGCCTTGGCACAGAAACCTGCATGTGTGTGTGTGTGTGTGTGTGCCGCCCAAGCGCTTGTTTGCATCATGCATATGTTCATGTGCAGGCCACATGGTAGCAAAACCCTCTCCGCCTGCAGAAAGGTGCGTGTGTGTATGTGCACGCCTGTGCCTGTGGCCTTGCACGCATGCCCTCGTGTACGTGTGCAGGCACGAGGACAGCAGCAGCCGATGCCAACGCTGGCACGAGTGTGCTGAGCTTGCACGGATGCACCGTCTGCGACTGTGTTCATATGCTCAGCATGAGCATGGCACACACACATATGTTTTCTTGCCCCCGCCCCGACCCAACTGGTCTCATTTCAGAAGATCAGACTCAGAAAGGACTCCTGGCGACTCAGTAAACATTTTAATGGCAAGCGGGAATTTACTGTAAAAGGCCCTGTGGTGTTTCTGAGTCATTACGGTGGGTCCCTATTACACAGTAGCTGTAATGAATTTCCCCAGGCCATGAAACATTTTTAACCAGTTGCTCAATTCCTTCCAGAGCATTGAAAAATACACTAATAAACTCTGCAATAAAAAACCATTCTCCCGGGGCCGTGAGACTCCTCCATCCCAGCCGAACTCCCCAGCCCCACAAACCCTCACACAGATACATGCTTCTCCCATCACGCTGCCTCA